ACACACACACACACACACACACACACACATACACACACACTCTCTCTCACACACACACACACACACATACACTCTCACTCTCTCTCACACACACACACACACACACACATTATATAGGCTATTTCTCAAAAGCAGTTTCATGTGCCCATCATGTCTGTCTTAAGATAGTGTTAATCATATTAGTTTCCTGCATCCTTTTTCATTCAGTATGGTAAGAACATTCAAAACAAGTATTTGTTTATAGTCAAATTAATGTCCGAAAAATAATCTTACATAACACTGAAGAGAGATGCAAAAGTTTGTTTACAGAAGCAATTGTTCTCTCAATGCAGGTTTCCAAATCCAAATCTTCTTCAACTTTGCTACTAATAAAAAACATTTCCATGCCTTGTCTGCTTCCAAACAGAGATGCAGAATCCCTTTAACTAACAAAAGCCAGTTCTTAAAGGGGTCATATGATGTTGCTAAAAAGAACTGTATTTGGTGTAATGCAATGCATTTATGCGGTTTAAGGTTCAAAAACACATTATTTTCCACATATTGTTTAATGACTTCATCCTAAAGGAAGTGACATCATTTCGGAAGGTAACAGCGGCACAAGCCTCTATAAGTATATTATCATTGGATCTAATGAGTTCTGGGATGTTTGTGGTGTAATTTGGTTTGTGTCCAAATATTAAACCCTGTTTGATCAAATGACACACATCGGTTCGATAAGATCAACATTTCAAAAGATATGAATATAAAACATATGAAAATCAGTGAATGTAAGCAAGCTGTCAGTCCCTCAGAGTAATGACCGACTCTGGCTCTTTATTTCCATCAGGGTCACTGTGTAAATAATCAAGTGTCTGATCTTGATCAGAGCAGATTCTGAGGACCCTTTTATAGAAACACGTCCCTACACTACAACACAAGCAGATTTATAGACTACAGGTGAAGAGAGTAAAAATGAACTTCATTGAAGAAACTTTTTTGTATGATATGTTTTCTGAAATGTTATGTTTAAATATGCAAATTCAACATTATGTAATGAAATATGCACTCATTTACAGAACAGAAATCTGAGCATTGGTTCATAATTCTTGTTTGATTTTGTTGTCATATTAGAGTGGATTTCTCTTTTTATCACTCCATAAATCAGAAAATACTGTCAACAGACACATTTCACCATGTTTTTAGCAGTAAAATGTTGTATAAATCAGTGTGAATTAAATATGAAGAAACCTTCAGAATATAGAGAGGAATAAATCTGTAAGTTTTGGTGTATGCGCTGCTGAAGTGGAGTAACAAACTTTTAAACATATGGATTGGAATTGAAATCTACAGACGCAAATAGATCAAGTTTAATAAAATAAAGACTTAAATTTGTATTTTGGATTTCTTTCAAAACTTTATGTAAAGTCAAAAAGCCCAAAATTGAAAAATGTATGAAAAACAGTGGCTGTAGTGTCCTGTTAGTTACTGACAGGTTTTGCAGAACTGGATCCG